AAAATAATGATATTAAAATGAAGTTTATAAAAATAAGTATCATGTTAATATTAAAATTAATTTTATAAATATAATATTGGGGAATATAAACAAGGTTTACTCACTTTTTTTTTTGTGATAAGTCACACAATGAAGAACTTTTATATATATATATAAGTAAATTATATTAAAAATCTTTATTCAGGGGCATTGGTAAACATTAATTTGGGGGTGAAAAGTCAAATGATAAAATTGCTAAATGAGTAATATTTAATTATTTTTTCTAATTTTTTTATCGTCATTACATCAAAATATTGGTAGTGGTTTTAAATATTATTTATATTAAATGATAATAAAAAAAATATATTATTTAAGTTATATAAATAAAAATTAAGTATTATTTATATTAAAGAATAATTAGAAATTATATTATTTTAACTACATAAAGTAAACCAAAATACATGACCAATTTATTTAAAAGAAATATATAAGTATGATTAAAATGATACTAATTCGTCTATATCAACGGATGGGGGACAGAAGAGCCATAGCATCAGAGCCATCGAGGAGACCCTAAAGCTTATAAAAGCAGAATTTACAGATCTTGGTAATTTGTATAATGTCATAATTTTTATATATCATTCCAAAGGCTATGAAATAATATGAATTAAAAAACCAATCTAGTCTAATTTTTTTAGTACTGTCAATTTTTTTTTAGAAAGAATATTAAATATTTAATATTTTTTATTTATTAATTTGTCGTTTGACAACATATATTTTAAAAATTTAATAAATTTATACAAATAACATCTATGTAAATAAAATATGTAACTTTTAAGCATGATGAAACAAAACTTGGCATTAAATTAAGTGAAAACACGCATTTTCACCCACTTTTTCGTAGCCTAATAAAGTTTTAAAATACATCGTAACTTCTTTTTTCTTTGCATAAACGATTATCATGAATCAGCCAGTAAAATTGTTTTTTGCATAGTTGCCGAATTAAACAATCATGATATGTTAAAACATCAATTAAAACTGTAATTTGCAATAGATAATTCAAAACTTAAGTCTATAATTTGAAACAAACAATTCAAAACTTATGAATAATTTATTAGTTATATTATATTTTATAATTTATTAAAAATGAACTAAAATATTATTACGGAAAAAATGCTAATATATTTTTGTTAGGCATTTGATTAAAAAAAATTAANTGTATATAGTAAAGTGTTTTTAATACAACTTAGTTAACACATTTAAAATTATCTAAAACATTATATGATTTTTTTTGAATGGTATGTATTAAACTTTATCAAATATTGTATATTATGAAAGTTACATTCATGCTATAAATAAACAAAAAATATATTTATCAATTATAAACAACATATGAAAAATATTTCAACTTGTACAATGAGTGCAATATATATATTATCCTCTCCTGAGGCCGTAGAAGAAAGTGTGGAATAGGTATATATATATAGGATTGACACCTTAGTTTATCGTTTTTTGGATTTAATTAATTTAACAATTTTATAAAAAAGTCCGTGTCTCCATTGAAGTCGAGGATTGACACCTAGTTTATTGTTTTTTGGATTGAATTAATTTAACGATTTTATGAAAAAAAGTACGTGCCTCTTTAAATTCAAAATCATTTTCGTTTTTATGAGTTGCAATATCCTTTATGGTTTAGGCATATTATTAATTTTGAAGAATATTACACGGTTATTTGTAACAAATATAATATAGTAGATTTTGTTATAGATTTTGTATTTCAATTTGTAATTGGACTATTTAACTTGTACAAACCAAGTCGTGAATAATATAGAACTAAATAGGCTCTTAAGCCAATTAAGGTAGAAAAATAAGCTAGAACAATTTTGGATAATTGAATTAATTTTCAAGTATGGACATTTCATTGATATATATCTATCTCATTTTTTTTAATATATTTTCCAATCCTTCTATTCATTTTCTTCATATTATACCTAATATCATAATTCAAAATAAAAATTATTTTGTTACTTTTCTTCTTCTTCTTTTTTTTAGGTTAATATATATATATATATATATATATATATAGATATATAGATATACTAATTTTTGCCTCTAGCTTATATCATAACTAGTTATTTACACGGCTCGAATCGGAACTCGAGTATTATGAGCTTCGACGCAACCCATTTACAACTCCAATTACTCACAAATGGGTAGGTGAAAGAATTTTACCAAACCAATATATATGAGTTCTGGTGAGAATGGTTATCAATGAAAGAAATAAGAATATATCGTAACCGTAAGATCTGATGACCCAACAGTCAAAAGAAGTATCAACTTGAAAAGAAAGTCTAAATGAATATGTGTCGATAGCCTTCGTCGAGAAGTTGGGTAAGTTGCTTCCTTTTGTTGTTTTCTGATCGCAATAGATGGAGCTTGTTTTTGTAGAGTTCGCTAGTATTACTCAGCAATCGTTAGTGTTGATAAGTTGCGTCCTTTGCGGGGGAAGAGAATAAAATTGGTTCGCCATGGAGGCGGATTTTGAAGAGAAGTTAGAAAAGCTATTGGAGTTGGATGCACTCGAGAGGAGCTGTCAGAAATGGAGCAAGAATGTAGAACTGTGAAGGCCAATTTGCACCCAGGCTTTGGGGATATCGTGGTGCAGTCAGGTAACTTTGCAGTATGGTTTTTTATTTTTTGGGGAGATCGCAAGGTGTTCGGTATATGTGACTTTGCATTTATTGTTTTTGTCTGTTGATCGGTCACCGATCGTCTTTGTTGTATTATACCCGGAGACGGGTGAGAGGGGTGGCGATTTTGAGGTCATTTTGAAGACCGAGAGGAGTGCCAAAAAATTAAGGAATAGGCTCTCGAAGAAGAGAGAAAGTTCTCTAGCAAGGGACCGGCTGCTGTGGAGGGATTGGCCAAGGGTAGTGAATCGCCAGTCCCATAGACGTTGACATGAGATCTCCACCTGTGACGAGTCCTAGGAAGTGAAGTTGTTCGCCTATATTTTGAAAGCTCGACCGCAAGTGTACGGCTTCGCTCGTAGTATGTGGCAAGCAAGGTCGTATCCCAAGAGACCAAATAATTATTGTACCAATTACTAGATTATGATAGTGTCAACTTTATTTAGACGATCGAATATGAGATGGATTAGCTAAACTAAGAAAATATTATTAATAAGAAATAAAACAAGAATAAAGAACTAGCTAGAAAAACACGTAAGAAAATATATGGGAATGATAGATTCTAAGATTGTGGTTTCAATTAACAGTTGGGTTCCTTCAAAATATTACAACTAAATGTTTCTTTGTCTACCCTATAAGATGTTCACAAATCTCTCGAGATCGATAAAATCGTAGATTAAATCACATATATTAGCGTCTCCACTCAACACATGCAATTCAACTCCAAATAGAACAAAAGATCTAACATCCTCACGACATACTAATCTCTCGATTCAAGCAAGTAAATTGTGTCAAATATTAAACACCTAATATTGAACTCATCTCTCGAATTATGAACAATATTGTCAAACATGTAAAAACATTGGACAAGTGCTAAACATGAAATAAGAGCAAAGTATTTGAATAGGGTTCAAAAGAAAACAATTCATTAGAATAATTCATCCAAAATCCCAACATATTAATCTACTACCAAGTCCTAGAATCAAATAAACTAGCCACTCATTTTCGAATTCAAATACATAGACATATTAGAAATCGACATGATAAATAAAAGTTCAAAAGAAAAAAGAAAGAAAAACTAGAAATCTCATCGATCTTTCAATCTTCTTGATTCCTTCGTAGTTGGATCTTTTTTTTGCTTCCAATTGCTTCTCTTGTGTGTTCTAGGGCTCCTCCTCTTATTACTAACGTTCTTTCTCTCAAAATAGGGTAAATATGCCTTTTATAGTGTCCAAAAACCTTCTCCTTTTCAAAATAGGTAAGATATAAAAAACAGCCTACGGGTGCGACACGCCACTCTGCCCGTGTCACTGTCTGTGTCGCAGCCCATGTCAGGTCCCTAGGATTCGGAATCTCTCTGTTGAGGTGACATGGCCTCTGACACGGTCATAGTGCCCGTGTCAGCTCTGTACACTCCTTTTCTTGCTTGCTTCACTCGTTTCTTCTATTTTTTTCATCCCTTGTGCATCAATATTTCATCATCTCGGGGTTCCTAGGTACTCACCATGCACCTCCAGTAGCCAAAAGCTCTACAAATATGTGTAAATATCTACAAAGCAAGCACGTGTAATACCTTTCTAACAAGAATAGAATAAAAGCACAATAATGCAATTTATACACCAATAATGAAATGAATAAGCTCTAGATACTATATAAATATGGTGTAAAATCACACATGAACAGAGGCCTGAAACATGGGGAAAATGGATAAGCAAGTGCATCCAAATGCAGCAAAGAGGGGCCTTCTAATCGGGATCGTCCACGCACCTCTCCCGAAGTAGTTCTGGCTGAGGTGATTGAAGAAGTGGTGGTGCAGATGGACGAGGTCTTGGAGGATCGTTAGGCATCACCAAGTGGAGATAGTCAAGACAGGAGAGAGGGATATCGTCCGAGTTCTGCGGCGGATGACCTTGAGCATAGTCAGCCAGGCGATCGCCATGACTTCCAGGAGGCAGACACCTACAGAGAAGATCGGGATGACCCCGAGGGCAATTGCCAGGACGTCTCATCATGAGCCATCAGATAGAGCCGCTACAATTTTCAACTTCACCCTTATTTATTTAGGAATTAAAATCATATTTTAAAAATGTTAATATTTATTTTCTTGAATTCTAAATAGGAATTCTAAAGAGACAGTTATTTATTTAATGTGTGAAATAACCATATAAATCATTTATAGAACTATTATATGTCATAAAAAGAAAAGAAATAATAAAACTTAATATTAATATTCAAATCTAATTTTATACTAATCAATATTCATTCATTATTTAAATTTATATTATTTATCATTACTGTCTCCTACATAAAACGGGTCATGAACTAATAAAATGGAAAGATGGGCCCATCCATACATCGAAGAAACTTTCTTCTAATCATCTGGCTCATAGTATCCGGCCCAAAAACTCTGCATCCGCTCTATCAAAGAAACTCAAGAAGCTATATATAGACCCAGTGCTGCCAGCAGGATTACAATCACCGATTATCATCATCATCATCAATCTATCTGTTTCGAATTCCTTCGCCCAGGTGAGAGCTTACTGAAACCTCCACATTAGCATATTAATCTCCGAACTATTGAGAAATTCAACATGTTCAATCACGGGCCTTCTCTTTCGTTTTCTATTTTTTTCCCCTTTTTTCTTTGCGTTCTCAATCACCCGCCCATTCTTCTTGTTGTTATAGTAATCTTGATTGTATCCTCGATCTCCTGTTTCTTTTTTACATTTATTTTGCAGTTGAATTTTATCCGATTTCGAAGCTCTATGGATGAGTGTGTTGCATGCATACTTTACATGTGTATGTGTGTGTGTTGGGAATGTTCGTTATTTATGGAATTTTTTTGATTGATTGTTGGATTCTATAGAACATGGCGCCCTCTGCAAAAAATGGTAAATTAGGAGATTAGCATACTAGTTGCTCTATCGTTTGTTATGGCTCACAGGTGGTTGGGCAGTCTTGTTGTTTGTGGAGGAGTACAAGAAAGTTCTGAAGGAATCTTTATTGAGCGTATTGAACATCTGTAAGCAATCCAACGATGTATATTATATGTAATTCTGCCTTTTTTCATTATAAATCCCAAGAGAAATGAAGAAATCAATTAATCTTGCTTTGTACATCAAAATGAACGTGGAAGCATATGGAAACGCCAAGAGTTCCTGTCTTCTGTTGGGTGGGAGGGGAAGTATAGTTGACTCTTAATGAATTATCTGAAAATTGTTTGGTTTTCCAGTGAGATCAGGTGACCAAAGTTGATGCAGTTGAATCTTGAAGGGGTATTATTGTTTGTGTGCTCTAGTTTTTGTGGGATAGCAGATCTGTATACCGTAAGAGTTGCAAAAGGCTATTATACCTCTTTGTCACACCCAATTACTTAATCTAGAAAGGTTAAAATTTCAAAATGGATGAGAATCAAACTTTAGTATGCTCAAATTTATTTAAATGTGTATATATAGCTGAATTATGAATATATCAATGATGTGTGCATTTTGCGATGGATAATTCTCTTGATCAACATGATAAACCGCTGGATAAATCAAATATTTGATTCCATAGTTAGTCTGCTGTAGTTGGCCACTTGATTGCAAGTTTATATTATTAAAATTGATGGGGCAAAAGATTCACACATTCTTTTCTGGTTTTGCAGCTCAGCATGGGTGTATATCTAAGCGCTCCCAGAACTGAAAAGTACTCAGAGGATGGTGAAAGTGATAGGCTTAGATATGGTCTGTCATCCATGCAGGGGTGGCGAACATCAATGGAAGATGCTGTAAGTTATTGTGCCTTTAAAATTTTTATAATCTCCATAATTGGTTGCTATGATCTGCTATAATTCATCCATAAAGATGTATGTTATTCTATGATGTGGATGTATATATTATATGCATTGTACATCAATTGTATTAGGGCTTCTATATCTATATACCACATTTGTTGACATGTACCAGCATGCTTAGGGCTAACATCCTGATTTCTCCCTGAATTCAGGAAAAGATGCATTGCAAGTTAGATGTCTCTAATTTTGGACAGATGTATGTGCTGGTTATACCTTCATCAGTTGAAATAGCTATTATTTTAATTATTATTTCCAGACGAGTATGACATCAGCACCTTGATGAGATTTTCTTCTTGGACTGATTGCCATGTTTTTTTACCTTAAAATCTTTCATGACATACAAAAATAGTATGCCAATGATCATTCGTGAAAAGTTTTTGGCCTGATAGTACAATATAATTGTATACGGAGAGACAAAAACTTGCTAATTTCCACAAAGTTTTAGATCTTATGCACCTTATATAGTTATATTTGTATTTACCAAATATTGTGTTGGGGGATATGTGATAGAAGATGTGTTTGAAAACTGACTGAAGAGGCGAGATACTGTTTTCTGGCTAACGTAGTTCAATCTATAACCGTTTTTATAACTAGACAAGGTAATGAATTTATAGAGAACTCACTTTCACCATCATTTTTAAATGAGTAGTTGACTGGATCTAGGGTCTCCTGTATTAGAACATATGATCTTTGACGATTATCATATTTAGATTTATGACTATTATAGTACTTTGTTTGACCCGTTGTTGATTTTCATGAGAAAGGCTGACACCTTTTATTCATTTGAGAGGTTAAGTCTAGGCCATACTTGTTAAATTTCAATTTATCATCTCTAATTCTTTTCCTCTTTTGGCTTGAGTTATTACAGCATGCTGCTTTCACTAATTTGGATGTTTCAACCTCTTTCTTTGGAGTTTATGATGGCCATGGGGGTAAACAAACACAATCTGATAATCTCTCAGTCTTTATGAGATTCTTATGCTCTTATATAAGTATATCTGTTTCATCTTCAACATTTCATAGATTCCTTGGTCTGTTTACCTTATAGCTTTTAAGCCTAACGTCACTATTGACTTTTGTCATTCTGTTCCCCTAGAAAAGAAAATGTTTTAAGGACCTGACTGCTGATGGTTAATGGCTCTAAGTCTGTGTAAGCGTCTGCTTGATTAAGGAGCTCAGTCCCTGGTTCAGAAGTAGGAGTATAAGAAAATTTAAGCAATATAATGAAATAGTTTGTATGCATATGATGCTGGATTGACACAATGAAGTTTTAGGCTTATTTATGTCAAGGGATTTGTTCAATAGAATACCAAGGTTCCTATTATATATGGATTGAAACCAAACGAAAAGATCTATCTTCCAAAACTTGAGAACTGCACTAGTAACCTAATACCTAATGGGACTCTTAATTGTTCCAAAGTAAATGTTGATGCTAACTCTGCTTTCTGGATTATTCATAAAATTTGGAGTGTATAGTGAACGAGAGAACTATTTACCCTCAAGTTCATTTAACATTTTTAAGTGCGTTTATGGTAGCAAAATCTGTCACTTAACGAACAATGGGTTGTTTCACTCTGCAGGTGAAGAAGTTTCAAAATTTTGTGCCAAGTTTCTCCATCGACAGATAATGGAGGATGAATCTTTTCTAGCTGGTGACCTTGGCACTTCTGTTAGAAAGGCCTTTCTCAGGTTTTAAAATCCTTTTACTCCTCGATTTTGTTCATATATGATATATATATGATATTTAACAATTATTTCTTGTTTTATATTCTTAATTTTCTGCAGAATGGATCAAATGATGTGTGGAAAAATGGGACAGAAAGAGTTAGCATTATTAAGAGGCAAAGAGGACCAGAGTAGAGGTATTGGTGAAAGTTTGCTGACAACTGGTGAAGATACTGGCCAGACAGATTGCTGGTCTTCTGAGGAGGTCTGTGCTCATTCCTTTTATTGCCCCAACTTTCCCAAATGAGCTACTTGATGAAATATTTACATAATACAATGCAGTTAAAAAGTTCTTATTAGTATGAACCTTTTAGTTTGTTTCTGAATGCTGAATTGCTTGAAACTTCACAAATAAAGGAATGAAATAGAACCAAAGCTAACAATTGTTGTGCATGCTTTTTAGACCATTTTGGGCGGTACAATTTTTACCAAAGGATGTACTATTAGATGGGAAAAAAGGAAATTGAACAAATAAGTGGTACCTGATCTTGTACTGTTTAGCTTATTCATCTGCTTTCCCTTTCACCCCCTTTTGTTGGTTTCATGTGATTTTGATGAGTTTCCTTGGTCTGGTTGTTTTCTGATTATGTTTCACTTAGCTGCCATACTTTGTTATGCTCAAGTGAACACGAACGCTATCTGATACTTGGTTTCCTTGTTGGGAAATTACTTTCAACGGTTTCATTGCACATAAGGCTTACTAAATATTTAACAAACTGCAGGGAATTTCATCTGATTACCATGGACCGAGTGCCGGAAGCACTGCTTGTGTTGCAGTTATTCAAAACAACCAACTACTTGTTGCAAATGCCGGCGACTCTCGGTGTGTCATGTCTCGGAAGGGACAGGTGAAATCCCTTTTACTTTTCTAAATGGGTTATTTTGGTTATCATTGGCTGCAAAATTTTTACAGTTGGAAGGATACACATGCAGAATTTAATTGCTGGCAAGTATCTTTAATCTAGTCATTACAATCACGTGCACTTTTTGTGCTTTTTTACTAATGTTATGTGTGTATGTGTGTTCGGTTAAAAATAGCATCATATACGGTTCTTAATCTAGGGCTTGATTCTTATTTGAACTACATCCTATATGCATGTACATACCATTCTGTTTGTATAGAATGTGCAAGAGAGGTTTTGAATGGATTACTTTCATGTAGGCTTATGATATGTCCAAAGACCACAAGCCAGATATTGCTGCTGAGAGAAAAAGGATACTGGAAGCTGGTGGATACGTTCAATATGGTCGTGTGAACGGGAGCCTGAACTTGTCAAGGGCCATAGGTATGCAGTTCAAAACATTCTGGTGGGTGAGAGAAAGTTTGCATCATTTATCATTGTCAGTATTGATATTTTAATTTTTTTTTAGGTGATATGGAAATGAAGCAAAATAAATCTTTGCCTGCTGAAAAGCAAATTGTGACAGCTGACCCTGATATAGTCACTGTATGTCTTTTTCTTCACTAGTATTTCATATTCACCCTCTCCTTACAATCTTTATGTTATATCCCGCATTCAAATTTTAGTATTAAGCCTGTTGTTGTACAGTACAGGTACTTCTAACTTTCAATGCCGATTTGTCGGGGAATGTCAAGCTGTGATTTAACTTGTACATTTGTGCTTTGTCTCGAGACTGTTATTTTAATCTAATTGACAGATTTCATCTCTGTTGCTTCTCTTGTACTAGCTTGAGCTTACTGAGGATGATGAATTTCTTATACTAGCCTGTGATGGGATATGGTAAGTTCTTCTCCTGCCATATATTAATCGTGATTCTTATGATGCTGAACCTTGTTTTTCCTGATTAAGTTCTTTCGTAAAGACCTTAAGCGAATGAAGTTTGTCCCTGTCCATCACTAGACAATATTGATAATATAAAATTGTTTGGATCATGGATTTGATTTGGTTGAAAAAGGACCCCTCATTGTAAGTAGACTGCAAAGTGAAAAATATCATGCTCTTAAAACTATAGCGTATTGATTCACTAATTTGAATCGCCAGAAAATGCACAAAATCAACATGCATTATGGGGATATGATTCTCGGTTTCAAAACTTCACTTGCTTCTGATCAAATTTGCGAAAACTAATGCATTTTGAATGCAAAATATCTATTTCATATGAACTAGAAATTTCTCGCAAACATATTCTTCTTTTGTGCACATCAGTAACTCACGTTCATTGCCTATATACTAACCCCAATGTTTATTCTGCTTTTCTTTTCCGTTTTCCTTGCCAGGGATTGCATGTCGAGTCAAGATGCAGTCGACTTCGTGAAAGAACAGTTAAAAAATGTAAGTTCCTGCCATATCTGTTAGACCATTCTGATATATTTCATGGTGCTAAAAACTAAGAAACCCGTAAAAAAAAATCCTCAGGAGAAGAAGCTGTCAGTGGTGTGTGAAAGAACACTCGATCGGTGTTTGGCCCCATCGTCCGGGCAAGAAGGCTGTGATAATATGACAATGATTTTGGTGCAATTTAGAAAAAATATCGAGGCAAAATCATCTGATTCAATTGCATCCTCCGTAGAGCAGGCAGGTTCATCTGTACAGTGATACACTTCTTAGCGTAATTACCCATATCTCACCTTATGGTAAGAACATTTCAGATATATGAGACATTAGCTATTGCAGAATTTATATCTTGTTGTTCGTGTCCGTTTTGTAAATAAACATAGTTTTCTTTAGCAATAGTTTTTTTCAAGGACAATTAGCTTCTGTTAGGAATATGCAGGCATCTCTTTGTTTGGTATTATTACTTAAACTGAAGGTTCTTCGATGAGTTTCAGTCTTCGTTAGGAATTTATATGCGTGATATTACAGAACGCTCATGAAACTGAATTGTTCTTGGAGGATTTTGTATAAAACCTCAAGCTTTTGGCTCCTAAAGGTCGATATCGAGTTGTGCTTTCAGATAATGCGTTGTTTAGTTAAAAATTATGCTATTATTTCTCATTTCATGTGGAAATGAAATATTGTCATTATTGAAATCATATTTTATTTTCAATATAGGTTGCACAATTTATTGTGTCATGTACTTCTTTAATTGATTAACTAAATTCGTAATGCAAAAAAATTGAATAAGCCACATAACTAAATAGATATATAGTTTGAAACCAAAAAGGAAAAAAAAATGCAAAAAAATTGAATAAGCCACATAACTAAATAGATATATAGTTTGAAACCAAAAAGGAAAAAAAAAATGTGAATCACTAGTCTTCTTTAAATTGAAGAAAAACGTGGAATGCACAAAAACACAAACCAATAATGCTGTATTTATATAGCCTACAGGAAGTCAACTTAATGGAGAGGATCATAGCATTTAATATACATCATGATAGCTTAAAATATTCTTTTCTTGCTGGCATTTTTCTGTATGCAAATATTTTATTTAGGTGTACTCATCCATCATTATATGCCATCCCATTTTCGCAAACATACAGACTGCTTCATTATTCTGCACACAACAAACAAGAAAAAAAAAAAAAAGGAAAAGAACAAAACAGAGTTTTTGACATGGCGGCTTATGCAGCTCTGGTTTCTCTTATGAACACCATAGACCAGATACATAACCATCCCCGCCCTCCCATTTCTCTCAACACAAGACACCTTCAATCTCTCACCACTAACATCACTTTCTTGCAACACTTTCTCGAAAATTATTCCATCGATGCCCTCGAAAGTCGTATTGCTGACGCAGCCTACGCAGTGTTGTGTGACCGTCCCGATTCCACCGATAGACTCATTGGCAGCGGAAGCTTGTCTTGAGCTCTTCTAACCGCTTGCAGCCCCTGTCTCGAGCTACCGGCTATGCTGCTCGTTCACAGGCCACACGGACCGCTCACTTTCGGGCCCGGGCTGGTTCACGTGTTCTCTTAAAGGGCCCGTTTCACTCCCGATTACACCTAAACGCAAACACACAGTTAATGGTTGTTAATAACAACAATACTCGAGCTATTACACAAAGTAAAATGCTCAGGAAAGGAAATGAAAGAAAAAGGAACGAAAGACTCCCTTTGTCCGGCGACTGGAGAAGAGGGACACGAAGTCGTCTCTCCCGGCTCAGATCGTCCTTCTTTCCGGCACCCTCGGTAAGTCGCGGCTCGGTGGTAACCAAGACCGGCAGCCCCGGTTCCTCGACCCGTTCCCCGGGCTGCACCTCACACACGAGCCACGCACCCGGTCTCCCCGTCACCTAAGCTCACGTCTCAAACAGAGACTCGCCTCCGGCGATTAGAGCTCGACGACGGTGGCGACAGCACTATGGCGGCACTCTGACAGCACTCACGGCGACACTCACGGCGGCTCTCACAAGGGAAGTCACGAAGAGAACAGATTAGTGAGAGAGAGAGAGAGTGATCGGTTTTCTCACAGAGAGATGGGCGCAACAGCTCAAGAGAGAGGAAAGTGAGAGTTTAATTAGGGCAAATGTGAGAGAGGAGTATTTATGGTGTACAAAGGATGGCTGGGATTTAATCCCTAAATCCAACGGTCCAAAAGCATCCTGCCCTTTAAGTGTGAGAGAGGGCCAAGCCCAGTCGGGATTTGGGCCGAGATATCCTTGGACCTAAGATAAGGATTTGGTTTTGGGCCAAATATCCTAACATTTCTCCACCGATTTGGCCCACCACCGAATACCGGACACCTTGAGGGATCGGAGGACTTTCATCATCGCCTTACCGTACCGTAAATACCCTATCCCTTACTTTCGCCAAAAACACAACATAACACACCCTCTGCTCTCTTTTCTCTACTGCGCCCCTTTCCTCTCTTTTTCTGTGACTGAAAAACCCTTGGTTCTCCGTGACCTTGTGAGAGGAGTGTGTGAGAGCTGAGAGTCGCCGTCGTCTTGCTGTTGGAGTGCCGCCGAGAGATAGCCCTTGTGCCGACGCCGTCGCCGTGCTCAACCCGTCGGCAACAGTCCTTGTGTAGGACTTTCGGCGAGCCGCTGTGCTAGAGGAGGGGGTAGGCGACGGAGTGGTCGGGTGCGGGGCTCGTGTGTGAGGTGCAGCCCGGGCACGGGCTGAGGAACCGGGGTCGCCGTTTGTTGGCCACCGCCGAGCCGTAACTGTGCCGAGGGTTTCGGGAAGAAAGGCTATCTGAGCCGGGTGACTTCGTGTCTTCCATTTCTTCGCCGGCGAACAAAAGGGAGTCTTTCGTTCCTTCTCTTTTATTCCCGTTTCGTTTATTTCTCTTTCCGAGCTTGTTAAATTGTGTTTTTTTCGTTTTCATTATTGCTGCTACTAAGACATAATCGTGTGTTTGGTTTCAGCTAAACGGGCCTGAAAGAGAGCTCGTAGGACCAGCCCGGGACAAAGAGGGCTGTCCGTTTGGCCCAAACACGAGCAGCATCTCCGTCGGGCTGAAAACGATCCCGGCAGATTGTACGTGGATCAGTCCGGGCCCGAAAGTGGGCTGTCCGGGTGGCCTGTAGACGAGCAACATAACCGGGAGCTCAAAAGGGGCTGCAAGCGGGTCGGTCGATTTCAAGACGAAGCTTCCGCTGCCAATGACGAGAGCGGTGCGACCGGGACGGCCACACAACACGCAGCAGAGGACATTATTGAATCCCACGTTGTCGACAAAATTCTTCATGGACACAACACAAGCAGCTCCACTTTCAACTTCATTCGACGTCTCGAACAAGTGATACAATATTTGGACACGATCAAGAGACTAGTCGCAAACATTAAAGAAAAGATCGGAATCGAGCAGTACCAGCTGCGTAAATTTTCGACGATATCTTCCCGTGTGACGAGGCAGAAGAACATAATGGTGGGGTTAGATGATGTCATGCTCGACATCATGGATAAGCTCACCGGAGGATCGTGCAGCCGGCAAACCATACCTATTGTGGGTATGGGTGGCATAGGTAAGACTACTCTTGCGAGAAATGTTTATTTAGACTCGTGCGTAAAAAGTCACTTTGATATTCTCGCTTGGGCTACCGTTTCTCATGAATATAACGCGAAAGAAATTCTCACGGAGCTCATTGTGTGTCGGAAAGAGAACGGTAGCAAGGAAAGGTTTAAACGGTTGAGCGAACACGAATTAGGAGAAATGTTGTATAAAGTTTAGTAGGTCGGAGGTAGTTGATCGTGTTGGACGACATATGGAGTGTCGATGCATGGGATAGAGTGAAATTCTTTTTTCCGGATAACGATAACAAAAGTAGAGTGATGATAACCACTAGGCTGTCGAACTTGGCTTTTGAATTAACCGGCGGCACTCATGACCATGTGACGATGAGTTTTCTAGACGAGGACAAAAGTTGGAATCTACTTTGCCAAACTGTGTTTGGCGACGAAGAAGAAGAAGCTTGCCCGATCGAACTCGAAGAAAACGGTAAGAAGATTGCTAGAAACTGCAAAGGGCCTTCCTCTGTCGATCGTCGTGATCAGAGGACTAATACTGGAAACACATAGCGGAAAATCTTAACTCGATCTTGAAATCAGCGGAAGACGAGCACTGCACGAAAATACTGCAAATGAGCTACGACCATTTGCCCGTTCACCTAAAGCCGTGTTTTCTCTACATGGGCATGTACCCTCAAGACTCTGAGATTCGCGTCTCGAATCTCACGAAGCTATGGATTGCCGAGGGATTCCTCAAGCCAATCGCGAGTAAAAGCTTCGAACAAGCCGCGCGAGAGTACTTAAACGACCTCGTCGACCGAAATCTCGTGTTCGTCAGCCGTAAACGATATGGCACGAAAATAAAGTACTACAAGCTCCACGATCTCTTGATGGAGCTTTGCGTGAGGGAAGCTCAGAAGCACAAGTTCCTTTTTTCCACCAATCGAAACACTCCACCAAGCATAACAACTAACCAGCGTCGTGTGGTCATTCACAAAGGCATCGATCCTCGAGTCGTTTATGCTTTGAAGAAATATTCGCCGCTCGTTCGATCCTTCACGCGCAAGTCCTACAGCCTCGCAGAGTCCTTAGATTTTAGATTGATGAGAGTGTGGAATGGGCTTCACGCGAATATTTCTTATTCGCTAATGCCAAGTCCAAGTTTAGTTAACTGCCGGTATATCGATAGCCTCAATATATCGAGTCGTGATATTCCGGTCCCACACTTTTGGAATCTACAGACAATATTCGGCACATCCGGAAGCGCGTATATCAATCCCTTGCAGATTTGGAAAATGACTCAACTCAGGCACGTGAAGTTCGACCTTCTCTATCTGCGTGATCCGAACAAGGAAAAATTCGTTCTCGAGAATCTGCAAGAGCTTTCGACCGTGCACAACTGCAAGTTCAACCTAGGATTAATCAAGAGGATCCCAAACATCAAGAAACTCGGATTGTTTTACGATGAGGTAAAAAGCTTGTCGAGCTGCAGCCTTAACAATATCGGTCTCTTTCCATTCAATTCTCGTCGGTAAACAGGCAGAGCCGGAGTTATTTATCCGAGAGCCTCGTTTTCCCGCGCTCGGTCAAGAAGTTGACTTTGCTAGGCACGGAGCTCGGGTGGGAGGACATGGCAAGGAAAATAGGGTGTTTGCCTAATCTCGAGATACTCAAGCTAAAAGTGAGCGCGTTCGTGGGGCCCGAGTGGGAGACAGAGGAAGGCCAGTTTCGCAGCCTCAAGTTCATGCTCGTCTCGTATTGTACGGATCTCGAGAGATGGAAGTTGGAGAGCAGCCATTTCCCGTGCCTCGAGCAGGTCGTGCTTCAGAAGCTGACGAAGCTGAAGGAGTTGCCTCGTGAGATTGGTGATATAATGGCGTTGGGATTGATCGAGCTGGAATATTGTAGCCGTGAGGCCGTGGTTTGTGCTAGAGGTATAGTTGAGGAGCAAGAGGAGATTGGGAATGAGGAGATTGGGAATGAGGAGCTTCAGGCTCGTGTTGTGCTGTCGAAGAAGATGTACGAAGAGATCGAGAGCTTTGCGGAAAGTCGTAGTAATTTCCAAGTACAGATCAAGGAAGAATTTAGTGTGCCATCCCTGCCATGTATGAATTCATATTGAATTTAACGCTTTAATCAGAACCATCAATTTGGGGTCTCCAACAATTTGGCATTACAAAAGTTCCTCACCTAAGTCCTAACCCACCTTTCTCCTTCGCCTCTCTCTGAAAACCAGAAAACTGAAGCCCCCGACCTCCCGTTTTCCGACAGCGGCTGCGCTTGGCTTCCCCTACAATTTCAGCTTTCGGGCTCGATTTCGAGGGTTAGCTGTTCGGGAGATGGGGAGGATACTATTCTACTATAGTTAGGGTGTGATTGGTTGAGTTGATAAGGAGGGATATCACACTTTGTTACGCATTAACAGCTTTTATGCTGTTTGGCCGAACTATGTCTGACCCTTGAAATTGACGAGGCCCGGTGTTACTTATAACACATTTTGGTATAACACATCACATGGGGTTGGCGGGATACAATTTCTCATGTAAAAGCTTTGGTGAACAGAAAGTCTAAATTGCCCTTATATAAAAGAAGAAAACCTAAAAATTGAGCTGCAAATGGAATCATTCATCTCGACAAACCCTAAGCTCCGCTGCTCCTCCACAACAAGAAGGTACGCGAGGTGAACGTATGCTATTTTTTATCGAGAAATCGTTGAATGTCGGTTCCTATTTTGGTAGATCTGATGTTTTGTGTAACTGTGTGTCTTCTTTCCGATTTTACTTCGTTGAATTTCACTGACTTTCGGTTCCTTTCGCCCAATTTTCTAAACAGAACTTACTAAAGATCAAAAATTTCGTCTCGTGGGTGTCGGGCAACTTTTCTTTCCCGTCGAACGCAGGATAAGATGAAAAAATCAAGAGTATTCTATTCCTTTTCTTGCGAAATATCGAACGCACACTCTATTGGGAATTTTCTCATCTGATTTTGTAGAAATGTCGAAGAAGGGTTTGGAGAATTTTTGCACAGATTTTTTTTTAATCTTTTGTTGTTATTGGTCAGGGGTAACATTGGAAATCAACAGACGTTTTCAAGCAATAAAGCATTCAAAAAGGTCATTTTTTGCCAATAAAGCAATCAAGCAATAACATGATAAGGCTCATATCAAACAACCTAAAACATAAACCAAACAAGTTATACAATACAAAATATCACATGGGCCCCAACTTGCTTGATTACATCAAGCCTAATCAATCACCCCAACCAATCACACCCTTATGACATGATTAGTATAATGGAATGGAATGAATTGAAGAATGAAAGATTATGGGAATGGAATGAAACAAGTTTTGTCATTGATGCGTTTGATATGCAGAAGAAATAAGACTTGAATGGAATGACATTATCATTTTTTATTATAAAAATAAATAAAAGCTTTTTTTAAAAAATAATATACTTTTAATAAATTATATATAAATATTTTTTAATAATATATAAAAATAAAATAATATATATTTTTAATAATATAAAAAATAAAATATTTTTAATAATATATAAAAATAAAATAATATATTTTTAAATTATATATAAATACTTTTTTTAGTTTTATTTTTATATAAGTATTTAATATATCTAATTAAAAAATAAATAAAAGTAAGTTTTCAATTTTTTTATTTGATTTTTGTTTTTTAAAATAATTTTATTTTATATATTTTGATCATGATTTATAATATATATTATATATTTATTTTTTATCATTATTTGTTAATTTTATTTTTTGAGAAATTGATTCCTACACACATGGGAATGAGAAATCCTTCCATTTACTATGGAATGGCTAATCCCATGGAGATGAGTTTTGGCATTCCCATTAGAATGGTCATTCCTTTCCGAAAAATATACCAATCATAGGATAAGTAATGAGTAAGGGAATGATCATTCCATTCCAATGTCATTCTTTTCCACCAATCATGCCATTAGTGTTTTAGTGTTTGTTTTGTGTTTTTTTTTAGTGAGGTTTGTTTTGTGTTTTGTTATTATGTGTTCAATTCTCCCATGTGGGAGTTGAGTTTGTTTTGATTTTATTTTCGTGTTGCTTTGTAGCTTTGGCCTTAGGCTACTAGGTGTAGTTCTTGCGGATTCAGCTTTGTAGCTGTTTTGTTTAAGCTATTTTAGTTTGTAATTTTATTTAGCTTTGTAGTTCTTGTCGATTCAGAAAGTCTATGGAACCGTTGGATGGCTCCTTTGTGGAGCCATTCATAACTTTATGTATTGACACGTGTCTAATGTGTATTTATTGCAGGACACGTGTCAATACACCATTTGTTGATAACTATGGATGACTCTATTAGCCGAGCCATATGTGGCTCCATAGCAAAATCGTATAACTTATAACATGTTTATAGTTTAAAAAAGAAAACTATTTTGCATGATGTCATTATATATTTTTGTTCTGATTGTCTTGTTCATTTTCTTCTCACAACAGTACAAATTCTTAGGAATTAATAACAAATTCACACTTTTATTATTAAAATTATAACTTTTATAATAAAAGTAGGACACAAAAAACATACTCCACCTAATGTTGGACGCTGATCAGAGCATCTTCAATTGCACAATGTCTATTTTGTGATGTATCGTATAGAAAAAGTAAATAAAAATATTTTTATCTCTAATAGTTAATGTCAATTGTGGAATAATTTAACACATGTAAAATACTTGAAAAAAAAAATATAATATTAAATATAAGATGTCTATAAATCTTTATGCATTAGAAAGACTTCTACATCCATACTGAATTTTTTAAGCTATATGGCCATAAAATTAAACAACCCACGACCATTAAAGATGCACAATGTTTTAGCCGCCCAATAGACCTAATAAAAACTGAAACAGTGCAACTCTACAACTCCTAATTTTTTTTAAACAATGTTATAGAATTTTTCTCTTGTCGTCCTTCTCCTTCAGACGCTGTGATAATCTTAATCGACTATTTTCTTCATAACCCAGGTATCTTGTAAATCTTAGCTTTTAAATCTTTCAACAGCTTCATAAACTCAACCGTTTCGATCGCTATCATTCTGGGTTTTGATTAAAGACTATTTCTTGGCCTTTGAATCCCTTTGTGGCAATTGATGTACAGATTGTAGGAACCCTAATTTTATACCGTTCTTAAGGTAATTTCCCCGAATTTTGTGTTTGACGGTGTGATATCCTGAATGAATTTTTCTGTCTATTCATTTACTTTTGTGAGTAAGAAGAACATGTTCGGTCATGATTCAATTTATGAGTAGTGAGAAGATAATATAGAAAGTGGGAAAAATGTGAGGAGGTTTCGCTTTTTATTTTTTCTTTTGGTAATTTTAGTTGTTCATGTGTGAATTCTTACTGGCAAGGTTTGTTTATGGCACCAGTCTTGTTTGGAAGTTCAAGGTTGGGGTTCTCGGTGATAAGTGATTCAGAAAGTGACATTTAGTAGCGTTTTTTTAGTGGAGATAGCTACTTGTTCTCATTACTGAGTAACGTTTATTATCTATCACTATTTGAGTCCACTCATTTTTTATTATATAGTATGTTGGGAGAGTTTAACCTTTCACAAGGAAGGAACATTGAGACGATCAGTGAATTTATATAATGTTTTCCGTTAACCTTTTGAGCTGCAAATTCAACAAATGAAGTTTTATTGTGATGCGATTATAAAATTCTAATTTGAGTAGACGATCTCACTTGTCCAGGAAGTTTTTGTTCGTCTCATCATTGATCTAAAATAATAATTTCATTATTTTAGTTCTGGAAAGGTTCGTTAGCAATATCGCTTATCAGTCGGTAAATTCCTATTTGGCAATGCATGCATTAGAAAATGAATCTAATCCTTATGAACTCCAATACTTCGTATAATTCATAATTTTTTTTCTTCAGTACTTCTGGTATCTCAATTCTGAATATAATTGGAGGACCATCAAAATGCTCCTTAAAACACAAGGAGAAATAAATGTCAAATAATACTTCTGTTTTTCACTCGATCAGTGGCCAAAAGTTGGAAGATCTGATCCGTTAATAGATTGATGTATAAAATCTGCATCGTTTAACTAAACATTATGGACTATAATCAAGCTATCTTTTTGAGAATAGGGATTATGCTCAGATGACCAGCTGGATGAAAAGAGAATGAAGATAAAATAGCAAGTTAATCTCTGAAATTCTTTTGGTTAGCATGACGAGCCTTTGGTTTTCTTTCCATATTTTTAATAGGTCAACTGTTTGAGCGGAAAAAAGGAAAATCAAACAAGAAAATTGTGGGGGTCTCAGTTTCTATATTGAATGTGAGCATATATATACAATTAAAAAGCAATTAAAGTTACTAGTTTAGGGGCTCTAAAACTAGCTTTCAGTAACCTTAAGGCTACCGGTATTGTTTTTTTTGCCCAGAATTGAATAAATAGCCTTGATCGCTATTGCTCTGTTTATATCTGTCTTCAACAACACTCGTTTCATTTACAATATCTTCCTTCCTGCAGTTTTTCGGAACCTCTTTTGTGATGACAGACCTGAAAGAACGTCTGCTCCCACCAAAACCTGCTTCTGCTATAAATCTCCGGGATTCTTCGTACAGGCCTTCTGCCTCAGGCCGTGGCCCATTCCAAGTAGTAGATGTTTTGGGCCTTAAGAAACGTGGGCAGGGCCTTCGGTCATGGATATGTGTAGATGCTTCTGGAATCTCCAAAGTGATTGAAGTCGACAAGTTCTCTATGATGCGCCGCTGTGATCTTCCAGCACGTGACCTTAGGTTATTAGACCCTTTATTTGTTTACCCCTCGACTATTCTCGGCAGGGAGAAGGCAATTGTTGTGAATCTTGAGCAGATTCGGTGTATAATCACGGCAGATGAGGTTTTTCTGTTAAATTCGCTCGACAGCTATGTGCTGCAGTATGTGGTGGAATTGCAGAGACGATTACAGACTGTCGGTGTAGGTGACATTTGGCAGCCTGAAGGCCCGGAATTGAGCAGAAGGAGAGGAGGAAGTAGGAATTTCGATAATATGTATGGAAATGTGTCACCTGATTATTTGCCATTTGAGTTCAGAGCTCTTGAGGTTGCCTTGGAGGCTGCGTGCACTTTTCTGGATTCTCAGGTTACATGCAACAAAACCTTCTGCTTAGAGAACCTCTCTGTTCTATTAGAATCTTGATATCTTGTTACTAATATGATTCATTCAATATGTTTCCCCTAAATTTATCATCCCGAAATTTGTAAATTTAATTAGGCTGCAGAATTAGAGATCGAAGCGTACCCACTGTTGGATGAACTCACTTCAAAGATCAGTACGCTGAATTTGGAACGAGTCCGTAGACTAAAAAGCAGACTCGTTGCATTGACTCGGAGAGTTCAAAAGGTATTTAACTACCTCCTGTGAAATAATTACAGTCACTAGGTTTAGTTTTCACAAGAAAGAACCCAGTCCCACTTCTGAAATTTTAACACCCCATCAGGGTTTGGCATGGGATATTGTAATTTTAAATTATGAATCAGTAAAGCAGTTCTTTATTTTTCCTTTGTTTTTCATTGTGCTTAAACATCAAGTTTCCTAATTAACCCGTAAATTTTGTCATCTAGGTCAGGGATGAGATAGAGCAGCTAATGGATGATGATGGTGACATGGCTGAAATGTATCTTACCGAAAAGAAGAAACACATGGAGTCATCTTTCTATGGTGATCAATCTCTGATGGGCTATCGCTCGAATGATCTGTCAATATCGGCACCTGTTTCCCCCGTCTCATCCCCACCTGAAAGCAGGAGACTCGACAAATGCCTGAGCATAGCAAGAAGCAGACATGAAAGTGTGAGGAGCTCAGATAGTGCCACGAATAGTATAGAGGAGCTTGAGATGTTGTTGGAGGCTTACTTTGTTGTCATTGACAGCACCCTTAATAAATTGACTTCGGTATAATGGCCCTGTGTCCATTATTTATTTATTTATTTATTGTTTATCTGCTTTACAGACCTTTCATTAAGGAGAAGGTTTTATTGACAATTTATTTTTTCAGCTGAAGGAGTATATTGATGATACAGAAGACTTCATCAACATTCAGCTGGTATGTATCTCTTCTTTATCCCCTTGTTTTTTGTTCTTTATTGAGCAAAAATTAGTGCCTTTAATATCAATGTTAAAGGTATGATCTGATATGTGTTCAATTATTTTCATGAATGGTATTCTTATGAATACTAATCTACTGTGGACTGATTTGGACAGTACCTGCTGTTTGTATGAGGCTAAATGTTGTTTGAGTAAACTTGTTAGCATTAAAAGTTGTGTTCATCATGTTTGAATTAAAATTTTGATTTATTTTCGGGATAGTTGAAGATATTATCTATGAGCTTGAACTGTAATGAATGAAGAAAAGGAAAATCCACTGTCTTTTCAGAGAATTACATATGCCTCCTTGATGTGTATGCCCTTCCTTGGTAACTTTTATTTTCGTAAATGCAAAAATAGTTGGGAGATTAGCCTCTTGTAAAATCATGATTGCTTATATAGAAACTTTTTTCATGTAAATTAAATACAATAGAGTGAACTTATATATGTGTGGATTTCCAATTTTGCCACCAATGTCAGTTTTGATTTCGTTGAGAATCTGTTGTTAAGTTTCGAGCACCACCGCACACTATTTGAAATCCTTCAACTTACAAAAATTTCACCTATCAAGTGTTTCTGTTAAACAACAATGAACCCCAATAGGGCATTCGTAATTTTGGAAACAACTAGATTGGGTTCTTTCTATAAATTTCCCTTATTAAAAGAAAATGCAAAGAAATCAAAGTCTGTATTTGAGTGGCTTTTGCCTGTTTGAGTTGTCTAGAATGAAAACATGTCAGGTAAAATTGGAAGTTTAGGGAGATGATTGATGATACCCACATGAACTGTGTGCAGGATAACGTTCGAAACCAGCTTATACAATTTGAGCTGCTATTGACTACAGCAACTTTTGTCGTCGCAATATTTGGAGTGGTTGCCGGGATATTTGGCATGAATTTTGAGATAGCGATGTTTGACAAACCAGGTGCATTCAAATGGGTCCTAATAATAACCGCAGTTTGTGGGGCCGTAATTTTTTCTGCATTTTTATGGTTCTTTAAGTATCGAAGGTTGATGCCGTTGTAGAAGCTCTGCATAGAAAATTGGGAAATGCCAGTTTTGAGGTCGAAAAGAGCTTGTTATTACGGCTATTATCGAGACATATTTTTTAATCCCCAAATATTAGAAGGGGTTAGGAAGGAAAGAAAGGAAGTACCTGCGCATCGAGTCATTCTTATATCTCAATTGTATGAAAAGAATATGTTTTAAAATGTAAAGTTAAATATCGTTTGAATAGATTGTATGCAGACTTACACCAACTCCAACCGTACTCCAAAACCCAAATTATGAGGTAGAAATTGCTCCAATGGTACTGCAAACGCATATCCAAAATGCGATAGAAACCTTCTCTCTCCAAATTTGCGTTTTGACGCAAAATTTGCGTCTGTATTTCACAAAATTGCAATGTAACCCTCAACTCTCAAATTTTGTATGTATGTTGCAATTAAAAATCTAAAAAATATATATATAGGTGTATGTAAAAATTGTATGTATGTGCAATTAAAAAATATATAAATAATATTTATATGTGTAAAAATTTATATTTTATATATGTGTCAAGTTTGTGTTTATTAAACATGAAAGTTGATATGATGAAAATTTATATTTTATATATATATATATATATATATATATATATATTTGATAGTAAATTTAATCCAACAAATGTGAGAGTATTTCTCAAATATTGTCAAAGATGTTCATACAAACACTCTATATAATATAATTAACCAAAATATTATAAGATAATATTATTACTAAATTTATATAAAATAACCTTATAAAAAAATGAAATGTAAAACAATTGATATAAAAATTAAAACACTAGTGTAAATAAATATATTATAAACCAAAATTAGTCTTTTTTTTCGTATTAAAAATTGTATTTATATATGTAGTTTTATGCTTATGAATTATTATTTTATAATTAATTTAGTATTTGTTTTTTTCAATCAATTTTAATATGTTCGAATTTGTAAAGTTATATAATATATGGGTAGTATTGAAAAGTTGTAAAAATTGATGTAAAAAGATAATATTCTGAGGATATTTTTGGGTTTGAGAATGAATTTTTACGAAACGGGTTTTGAGATGGTTTTTCAGTTGGAGATGGTACCCTGTATCGAATAAATTTCTGGAAGAAAATATTCGAAATTACCCTTTGTCCTAAAATCATATGACTGCACAAGTCGGATGAACCAATCATAACATTTATTTGACTTCTAAATCCCTCGATCTTCAAAAGGCCATTTTGGTCATTTTGACTACTAAATATAATTCGTAGCTGTGATTGTTTCAACCACTCCCAAAAACCCTATAAATCCGCTATCCACCTTTGAATTAAAGGTGAATTCAGCTAAAGAACTCATATCTATTTTTGTTAATACAAGTTGTAAATAACTTTTTTATCCAATATATGTTTGTAAAGTTAGAAAAAAAAAACTCATATCTGTTTTGTTAATACGAGGGAATAATTAACTTTTTTATCCAATAAACTTTTGAGTTTTATAGACATTTGAATGGAACTGAACAATTCCAAANAAAAAAAAGGAAGAGGCTCCTTGTCTTCATTTAGGCATGGATGAACTAGCAGAAAGCCGTGCACTCCTAGCTTTATCAGCCTTCTCCATGTAATCTTGATGAGATTGATGCTTTGCGCCTTCAGCAAACAAAATTAACTTAGAGCTAGCTTCTCCTTTTATGAAGCTCAAAAACAATAACACAACTCCACGTAAAGCGGGGGAAAAAAAAAACTCCACGTAAAGGATAAATGATAAATCCAAAGTAGACAAAGCAGAGGTCAAAAAAATGTATCAAGATTTCTATTCTATTATCGGTTCACATATGTTTCACTCAATTGTATTTCGGAACCAAGATTTGAAGAAAGTCATTTCTATTTGGACTTCAAAACTGCTCATATGATACTCTGCATTTCAAGAAAAGTTAACCTTTCTTACTTCATGGGTTCGAGTCACCAAGGAGGGGAGGTGAGAACACTATTGATCCTCTTTTTAATAAGAGAAAAAAAAAACCCTTCTTACTTCATCGAGCTTATTAGAACCCCAAATCAACCATTTTTTTTTGAGACGTGCACACACAAACAATGCCACGAGTAAAGGGTATTAAGAAAATGTGCATCCTACAAGGAATATTTGAGTTGAGCTTTCTCTATTTTCCTCAACCCTTTTTCTTCAGATTTTGGGTTAAGTTCAACTGTTTATGAAATAAATAAATAAAAAAAAAACATCACCATTTCTGCCATTAGCCAATCCAAACTTGGCAATATAATACATACTACTAAAGTGTTCAAATCCTGGATCCACGGCCCACAATCATTAGCTTTAATCTGTTCTCGAAATTAATATAACCCTTGGATGATTTTTCATGAGCATACACACAAAATACTCACCAAAAAAGACATCAAAGTCCGTTCTAAGATGTCGATCATAGAGCTTTTCACTTCCCATACTCAATTCAGAACCTTCTTACTAACAATGTTATTATTAACTAACTCACTGCATCTTTGTATTGCTCATAATCACTGTGAACCTCCAAAGAAACCATATATTACAGGTAGCCTAAAAGACTAAACTCATGAAAGTCAACGGAAGCCAGAACTTATAAATCATCCTTTCCAACTAGACCTCCAATACATAAAAAAGCCAGATAAATTTCTCCAATTACCATTTGTTTATTCTGACTTCTGAGTATCCAAACCAAATTTCAGTTCATCTATAAAGAAAGGAAAAGGAAAATTCATACCAGGCAGCTGTCAATTGTTCGTAAATCCATAAAACCCATTCATCAAAACCACACACATGATTCTCCAAAACTTAAACGGTCAACTAAATTTTCAATAATCATAAAAAGGCCATCAGATAATCTCAAAATTACATCAAGATTGTAAGAAAATCGTATCCAAGAAAATGAAAAAAAAACCAATATTCTCAACCCAATCTATTAACATTTGATTTAACCCCAAATCAACATCTTTCGTTAACCAACACGAAATTAACTGAAAAAATGGAAGGAAACGTCTCACCTTGGTTCATGAGGTACCATGGAATACCAAAGATGACTCCGATGATGGCGATGCCTGCAAAGACGTGCTTCTTTTCACCGCTGTACAAATAGTGCTCCAACTTAGCCCTAAATCCCGCTGCACCGCCGGCTCCGTTGCTGGGTTTCTTCGAGTCGTCGCTCATTTCTTTTATAACTTATTCTTTCACGACGAGAGTTGCCCTTTTTTTGTGCTTCGCTTAAACCCTTGTTTTTTCAGGTTTGGTTTGTAAAGCTTTAAACCCTTTTTGGAGCTGTCGTGAGGGGAGTGTTACTGTGTTATTTAATATCGAGTTCCACTAGTAAAAAAATTAATTAAAGATATAAATATATATATATAGAGAGAGAGTTGAGTAAGGAAAATGTCCAAAATACCTTAATGAATATATAAATGTTGGATTTTTTGTTACCACTGAATCATCTGATTTGATGGTTAAAATTTATTCTTATTCCTTCTCACCAGAGCACAAATATATATATATATATATATATATAGAGAGAGAGAGAGAGAGATGAGATCACATGAGAATGGCACGAGAGAGAGAGAGAGAGAGAGAGAGAGAGAGAGAGAGAGAGATGAGATCATATGACAATGGTAGATAATGAAAGAAATCTATATACATATATATATATAATTGCTAGCGAAGCAATTAATAAAACCTCATTTATTTTCCCACCAGAAGTTACAAATATATATTTACTTTATATTTATTTTAATTAAAACTTTAAATAACTCACTAATCAATGAAAATTATATTTTCTGTCCTATTTCTTCGGTTACTGACAAAGGAAGATCACCTAATTTTCACTTCTTTCGCTAGTGTGCTGAATAAAATAATGTACTTTGGCTAGCAATGAGTGGCCTTTACTGACCGATCCCTACCCTACGCCTTATGATGGCGCCCTAGCCAGATTCAATCCCAAGGGTCAATCAAGCCTTTTCAAGTAGTTCAAATAGTCGTCACAGTCTTCTGAAAGCTTTCAACGAGATTCTTAGTTGCATTAGCTTGTCAAACTCTCTCTCTCCTTCACCAGGAAATTAGGGGGAGCGCGGACAAAGTAGCAGACGATTTGGGAATGATTTTGGATAAGAAGAGCGTACGATAAGAGTAAGCAGACGATATCGATAGAAGACCATTCATCAATTACATCGAACCCAAAGTCAAAGAAAGAGAAGAATGAGCTAAAGAATGGGTATGCCCAGCCCATGGAATTAGATGTCGAATGAGTACGATTTCGAGCAAAAGGGGAAAAGACAAAAGTTAGGCTTGAAAAGAAAGCCAGAATCCTACCTCTTGGATGGACCGTCAAGCTGACTGCTATATCATGGATCGCCTTGGGGAGAGAAGGATCGATAACATTTGTTCATGCTGCGGGTGAGCGGTACCAGTCTACTCCCTTCGGTAAAACAATTAAACCCCCTTTACTTGATAGGCTAGAAGCCAACTGAATCAATGCTATGGATCATACTAGCCCTAAATTACATCGAGTCTGCTGGAGTTCCCTGTTCACTCTTTACGGATTATTAGAGCTCATGACAAAACCAACTCTACACCTGAAAGTAAAGAAAAAGAGAAGTGAATCCAAAATGAAAGGCTACTACCGAGTTTTAGGGCTCAATCAAGGGGAGCAAAGTGAGACTCTAAAATAACTAGATCACACTCGACACAAGGAGAGCAAAGTGAGACTCTACAAACGAAGCAAAGTTCAATCTCTGGAGAGGGAAGGTTACATTGACCTCAACTTCTCGACCCTGGTTGGAAGTTACAGAATGTCTTGAAGTGAAAGCACCCCTTCAAACGTTCTCCTAGGCACGAGGCAACTGGACTCTCTTTGAACGCAGCAAAGCGCAGTGAAGGATAGGTTATAACATATGCTCGACGCGAAAGGAGAGGAGAGCAGCTTTCGCCCCTCATCGACTTAGTCGAAGAGGAAGGATGGTAATGCCGAATAAGAGGACTTTGAGTCAAAGGGATCGATCTCACAACCTGCTCAGCGAAAGGCGATCCGCACATAACCGTTCCATGAATGGAGACCCCCTACTAAATGATCATCTTCTAAATATCTACGATAACTGAACTTCGAAAGCATCAACGTTTTTTTCTGCTATAGGTTGGACCAAGAAAGACATGGATTTTTTGTGGCGTGGCTTTTCTATTTCTATACGANTTTTTTTTTTTTTTTTTGTAAACCAGTAACTGACATTTAATCTATGACTTTTTTAACACAACTGTTAATTAAAACGTGATTATATTTTTAATTATTCTATTATCTAATATTTATTACTAACAATAACCAATTATAATTCATACTAAATGATATATGGAAGTTCAATAAGTATAAAAAGAATATATTGTAAACTTTTTTCTTAAACTTTCTATTGCTCTTAAGCATGATGTGCTAATTTTGGCTTTAGTGGTACAATCAAATCTCTTAAAATTTCATAAATGTTAATAATAATAATAATAATAGTAATAATAATAATAACACATTTTAATATAACTAATAGGTTATGATTCCTCGAGTATATAAAAACTACATTATCTATTTCATTTTATGCAATCAATACATTGCTGAAGTTGAATACTTTTATAATCATTTTTATTAATGATAAAATTTTTAAAATGTGTGACTATATATTATCTAGCTTATAAATTTAATGTTATATACAAACATGTAACTTATAATAATTTAAACCTCTGTGCATGTGCACAAGATCGAATACTAATAAGAATAAATCTGGACACTTGGATCATTCAAGTCAATGGTCATGATTTAAGTTAGACTTTAAATATGACAGTCAAATATAGACGTCATTCTAGTAAATAATTGTACATATAATGGACAAATATAAAGATTTGATCACTCACCGGGGGTAAATTAGACATTACACATCACCATTGGACCCCACCCCTACCCCCACTAACCTGCCCTCTCTCTCTCACACACCACACACACAAAAACACCTTACGACACAGACATATCAAACAAACAAACAACACACACACACACACACACACACACACACACACACAACACACACACAAGCTCAATGGAGCTGCCATCAGACATCAACCGCGCCTTTGCAACAAGCTTCGTCGGTCACGTCGCCGTCGACACCAGCCGCTGCCGTCGATGTAGAGAACTCTCCGATCACGGCACTGTACGTGGCCTGTGTGGTCGTCCTCGCCTAGCGGTTGTATGTTCTTCGGCGCCTGGTGGTGGTTTGTATGACTTAACAAGCCGCAACAACGTCAGATGTGGTGGATCTTGTCGAAGTGCTCGTCATCGCATAGGTGGTGGAGGTGGCCGACGGGACCTTAATGGATTGAGCGGTTTGTGAAGTTGCCCGTACAGGGACAACGATGGTCGATGGAAGGTAGCAAGGGCGACGACGGTGGCGAGAGAATGATCGAGGAGCAGGAGCGCGCAGATGCGTGTTGCTATGTATGCCATGGTATGTGATGGCGGTGGAGCAGGGGGCTCCGGCGGCGGCCGTGGGGCGGGGATGGTCTGGCAGTGATGGAAGATCTTGAGCGGTGGAGACGGGGGGTGGAATCGTCTACCGGAAAGTGACTGTGTTGTTGAGGGGTTGAGGGGCTACTTTTTAGAAATTTTGATAAGGCTCAAGGACTTGCATACAAATTAAAAAGTTAACTATATTTTAATTTAGTACATGTGTTAAATTTGTAATTTATTAAACTTTAAAAAATGCATCATATTGATGAGTAAATTGCACGATGAGTAAATTGCACATTATGGAGTGTATATATGCACATTAAAATACTATTATTTTTTATACGAAATTCTTAAAATTTTAATAATCACACAATACTGATAAGTATATTGATGACTTGTATACAAATTAAAAAGTTGACTATATTCTAATTTAGTACATGTGTTAAATTTGTAATTTGTTAAACTTTAAAAAATACATCATATTGATGAGTAAATTGCAAGATGAATCGCACGATGAGTAAACCACACATTATGGAGTGTATACATGCACATTAAAATACTATTATTTTTTTATACAAAATTCTTAAAATTTTAATAATCACACAATACTAATAAGTATATTGATCATTCGTGTGTGTACGTATGCACTTTAAAAATTCATGTTAATGGTTTAAGCATATGTTTACATATTTTGATGGATTCAGTTATTTTAAAAAGTACAGCTGACATCGAGCCGAATATTCAAAATTTTAAAAGTAACAAATAGATAATTGAATCAAAATATAAAATTTGTACCAAAAGTTTAGTTCGATCTGTTTTCAATTGTTATGGTGCATTCTATCAGCCACCAATGTGCAGCCAGTCTAACATTATTTAGCACTCGAAGTGCAGTTATATTTTTTTTTAATTATTTGTCCTAATCCAAACTATGACCAAAATAATTAGTTTATTTGATTGGTTAATTGATTTAACCTAAATAATCAAAATAATTTATTATTTGTATTATAAAATATATTTAGTATTCTAATGTTTTTAGTTAATATTCTATATTTTTGATTGTAAAGACCTTATATATATATATATTACAAAATAATGATTTTTTTATAGTTTGTGCAGTTTAAAAATAAAACCGAACTCAAAACAAAATAACCAAAATTTTAAAAGTAACAACAAATCATTGATCAAAATATAAAATTAGAACACACGAATTTAGTTCGATCAATTTTTGGTCACTAAAGTGCAATCCGACATTCACTAATGTGCAATCCATTTAACGATAATGTGCACTCCAAGTGCAGTTATTTTTTTAATATATGTTAAAATGCACACTAGCATACAATATTTTTTTTTTTCTTGTCACGTGTTATCATGGTGCGGAATACACTGATATGATAATGTGCATTTTCGAATGCATTAATGTGCGTTTGGTCTATCACCGTTGTGCAATTATTGTGCAGTCTGACAGTCTAAAATGCTTCTTCTTTATCAATATTGTGCATCATGTATTGCGGATATTAATTTTTTTATGTTCAAGTTCAAATTAAATTCAAATGAAATAATCAATTTATTCGATTAGGTAGCCGAATTAATCTAAATAATTAAAATAATTATTATTTATATTTTAGAAATATGTTTATTATTTTAACATTTTTATTAAATATTTTATATCATTTTTTGTTTAAAAATTAAAATACAAAATATATATATATATGGATGTATAAAAAATATATTCAAAATAATATTTTTCTTATAAATTACATATTCGATCCACTGGCAAAAATTGTAATATAATCTACATTATCGAAATTGCAAATCATGAGACCCTCAAAATTATCTAATTTTCAAAGGTATTCCCCAGAATTTTCCATTTGTTTGCTAGTGCCTGAGCCATGTTGGGGCTGATGATATATCACATTTTCAAAGTATTCACATTTCAATTTGCAAGTATGAATATCTATTATTGCTCCAATATCCTTATGTTACTTAACATGATGTCCATAACTAGTGCAATATTTTAGAAACATGAAAAATATAGCTTGATATGGATTGAAATCATTTTATTACAATTTGCTTCATAATAAAACATTCAACCATACATAGGGTTGGGATTACAATCTTGAGCCATGGCCCCAAGAAATCATGATAAACATAAAATGTAATACAAACTTCATTCATTCACTTAATATATATTAGAAATTCCAAAATGTAGAAATATGATACTTTAATTGACAGTTGACGATCGATATATAATGCATATTTAACCTCGATCGATTAAATATAAGCCCATGTAGAGTTAGGATGCACAGTTGAGCGTCGAGAGAGCCGGTTGGATGAGAATCTGCTCGATACGATGAGATGCCTCTTGAGTTAAATGCAAGCCGTCCCAGAATATATAATTGTCCGGATCAGGACAAACAGGTACACCTCGACTCCCGCAAAACCTTTTGCTATTGAAATTGTATTTCCCTCCAAATCCACAACACGCTTTCAGTGCGTTGTTTCTGTTTGGCCCTGTTACGTGACAACATAATCGACAACGTTAAAATAAGGGCCAAATATATCACTCAAGCTCAAATCACGCACGACTCATACAAAGTTTGAATTTAGATACGAGTTTGTGAAAATATTTCATAACGATGAAAAATTCCATGAAAGCTTAAAAATATATCATTTAACTCGCCTGCCATAAATTGGGTGAGATACTGTCGCACGCCATCGTCAAATGCGCCGTAAAATATGCTGACATCAGGAAACTCTGTTCTAAGGCTTGCGATAGCTTGTTGGAGATCATTGTTTTTAAATGTCATCAGATCGTTTACGATTTTAAGACAGCCGAATTCATCGTAAGCTTTCGGATCATTGCTTGGGAATGCAGTTAGGATATAAGGAAAGCATCCGATTGGAGCATTTCCCGGGATTATTAATTGCCTTGCGCCCATTCTGATCAGCTCCTGCATGAACCATTTCAATTAATTATTATGTGCTATATATATACAAGTTATATATATTGAAGAATAAGAAATTAACATAGATATATATATATATATATACATACCCTTGAAACATTTATTTGAGCTTGTGTTATAATGGGCACATAAGTCCGTGCTTCTTTGATGGATTTTCCTTGGAGCAGTGAATAGCCGATGTCATTGGCTTCAATGTCCCCCAGCAATATAAGAGAATTTGCTAGCCTATTTGCACAATCTGATCATATAGTTTTAATAAAAATATTAGTCATGATATATAACGCGTACAATCCAATAATTTACAAATTAAATAAATGTATATCCATCGATTTATGTTATACTAACTTGATCCACAAACAGATTTTAGATGTGTTTTGAACCAATTGAGCTGTTCGTAAAGAGGAACGGCGTATGGTGGAATTTTAACGCCTCTTTGTTTGAAAAACTTGTGGTCGAGCACCGGGCTTCTTGCTACCGAAAATATGACTCCGTTGCTGGAGTTTGCTTCGGGCGTCAAATAAGGTACGATGCGTGGAAAGCCGAAATCAGCAGCTGCACAAAAACTCATCATCATCACCAATAAGTTACACATATATAGATCATGCAAACAACATATTTAGTTTGTCCATTCATACAACACTAGCTAGTTAACTTCAATTGTGTGATTGGAATGATTTAAACCTAATTAATTAATAGTCTAAATTGTAATATTCTATAGGGAACACATACTTAATTAATATACCAAAATTATCACTACTTAAGAATCTTAGTTATTAGATATTTTGGTAATAGAATAACACAAGAGTTAAAGAGCATTCACACAATGGAATAAATTTAGATGTGTAATTAGCATATGGCTTTATAATAATACCACATGAATGTGATAATATTTCACTTTCATAAAACAATCTCAAGTCTTTTTCACAAATCCATTCATTTTACATGCATGCTCTCTCTTTCTCTCTCTCTCTCACACACACACATATATATATATATATATATAAATAATTTGTAATTTTTTTGTATATACCTGCAAAGTCGAAATCAATAAGACCGTCGCCCCATCGACCAGTAGGGTAACCGGGGTACGACCGACCATAAGGTAAGCGTGCGGCAGGAAGCGAAGGTCCCCAAGGGAGAACCCTAATAGAGTTGCCGACGTCAGTAACTCCATCACCAAGATGGTACAAATACTGATACGGACACACAGTATTTTGTGACGAAATCGGGCCAACGAAAAGAAACAAAAAAGCAATAGCAAGCTTGGCAAAATAGGAAGAACTAGAAGTATCCATAATTAATAATAATAGTAACTTGGTATTTGATCCTCTTTAGCTAATGTTGTTCTAATTTTTCTTCGCTTGTTTGTGCTCATAACAATTGGGTTGCATGCAGTTTATATAGGCAAATTTTAGCCACCAAGTTGGAATATAATATGCATTAAAAAAATGTATAGCCAACTAGCGCTAAATTTGGCCTTTTACAAGTTCAAGTTTAGGAGTTACTTAAGATATAAATCTCTGACATAGGAAAGGAATATTAAGATGTATATCATATGATATCTGACTTTAGGTTATAAATCCAAACCGTTTTTATTCAAATGTCAACGAGGGAACTAATGGTACTGTGTCAAATTAATTTAACGCGTGTCTTTATTTATTTTTAAATTTTATAGTTTTCAGTTGAATACGTCGTCCTGATGAGTTGGTTACTGGAGATAGTGGCAATATACATATAAATTTGACCAGAAATTATCGGGAAGTATTAATTTTTTTATTTTTTCCATTTATAAAGCTGACAAAAGAAATTAAAACGCCGTGTCATTAAAAAATAATTGTATTTGGCAATCTGCTCATTCATGGGATCGGTTGACCTCGCAATTTCTCCTCGCTAACGTTGAATAATTTTAAGAAATTTCATTACTTGTGTATTTTTAATTTACGAAGAACTAATCAAAATTAGTTATTCAACATTAGCTTTAAGAAAAATTCATTTAAACATATTTTAACTTACGTAAGAACTAATCAAATTTATTCTACAAATATGATAAGAATGAAGCTATCCTGAAATCTCCTGCCCAAATTCACAATTTCCTATGTAAATACTAAATAGTAATTTGACAGTATAAATCCGATGATCCAATTCAATTGTTTTGACTTTTATTTCACATTTGATTACAGATTTGTACATTGCAAACAGTGACGGATTTAGGAATTTTATCAAAGGGAGTCCAACTAATAATAACAAAAAAAAAAACAGAAAACATCAACTGAAAATAAATAAATCAGTACAAGTATCGACTAAATAAACATAAGAAATATATACGAGTATTATAAAAAAATTACTTTCGATAACATTAAGAGGTCACAACATTTCTCTTCTATTTTTCATGTTTTGAAATTGTTGCACGATAATCTCGTTGCTAACTTTCCAAAATATATCTTTCTCGATGTATGTCACTAAATAATCATTCAAAATCTCATGCCCATTCGGTTATGTAGTGTACTTTTGATGATTTTTATTGCCGAAAAAGTTCTTTCCACTGTAGCAGTGGGAACCGATAAAATCAACAACTTAATCAACAACTAAACCAATGAAAAAACATCATATTTTCTTCTAGACACCATCTTTTGAGCAAGATATCCAATATTTGCTACATTCGAGAAGTTTTCATCCAAGCGCATATTAAAAATGAAATTCTCGAATCTTAAGGGTTTTTTTATCGGTTTCTCAAATCTCAAGTTTTTTTTGGCATACTGTTCCAACTTTCATCCGATTTTACCTAAGTATTTTTTTTTAATTTTTTTATATTATTGCAAATTTACTCAATTACCCCTAATTATTTTAAAAATTTCAGGGGGCCCAGTGCCCCCTGGGCCGACTACATGTCCGTCCCTGATTGCAAACTCATTATATTTGCCATAAAGTTTGCAAGTAAATAAAATGATTTTGCTATATGGAGCTAGTTATCGAACGATACCACCATTCACAATTATTTATTAATGTATATAGACACGTATCTTACTATAAATACATTTAAGATATGTATCAATTTTAAGATATGTATCAGTACATATGACTCTATAGATTTTTTGTCTTCTTCCAATATTCGTATTTGACATAAATTTAGCGTAATTTTATAATTGAGCATATTAATATTAGATATTTAACCCAAACGTCATCGCACATTATGCAGCTATACTACGTAAACTTATTTTAATTTCATTATAAATACGCGTTATTGATTTTCCAAAATGACATGATATTGACCGCAAAACAATTTTTCATTTTGCAGAAAAATTCTCTTGAAGAACCCAAATTATGGTCAAGCAAATTTTGAATTAACGCTTTTGAATTTCACGGGTTACTTGAGTTGAAAAAGTGCTTATTTGACATTTTCTTTTTTATTTTTTTCCGAAGCCCAATCATGACACAAGACAGACGAGACTTGCTTGAACCCACAAAAAGACAAAACGTGGTAATCTTTTATTTTTTTTGGATGAGTCTAACTCATCCATTGATACCGAAAGATCCCGTTGTACTGTACAATTCGGTATGGTTTGATTTGGTTATTAACTTATTATTTTTAATATAAATTTTTTTATCAGATTTTTCCTACTTTGTACGGTTTGATTTGGTTGTTATTTTAAACACAAAATTTTTTATTAGATTTTTCCTACTTTGTGGTGATCAGGTACGGTTCAATTATTACTTTTATAGGTTTAGGTTTTAATTTTGTTAGGGTCGGCGCAATTCTACACTAAATTGTTCCAAATTAAATATCAACTAGTACGTAGCCCGTGCGATGCACGAGACATAAGTATTAAATGAGTTATTTCTACATAACTTGTCTGTTAGTAGCTCGTGCAATTCATGAGAGATATTAAATGAGTGAACAATAGGGCTTACCAGTTCAGGCCTAAAAAATAATTGAGTTTGATTATCTATTTTTTTACCTCTTTCATCAACGTTATCTTTTTTGTCGAGACATTAAACCTGAGCCCAGTAGCGTTAGCCCGTAATATATTATTTCGCTCACATGTTTATAATAATATAAATTTAATTTCATTATATATATTTATTCCTAGATATAAGAAAAATAACAATTTTACGTAATCTTGTTCCTCGTATAATACTCATATTATTTTATTATAAAATTTATTGTAATATAATGTAATTATTATTATTTATACAAGTTATAGATGTAGTCTTCTTCTTCTTTTTGTTTTATGTAATTAAAATATTTAATGCATGTTAATAGTATTTATTAATGTAATTAATTTAAATTATATAAATAAATTTAAAGTAAAACATTTTGTACAAACATTTTACAAAATATACACAAATGTTTATTTAGAATTTATTTATTTTTTTATAATAAATAAACATTTTTGAAATTCTATGCAATTATTAAACATCCTCGATATAAATTCGAAATCATACTTGAACTCTATGCAATTATTAATTCCGTCCGATGTTATGGGAAACAAATCATTTGGAAATGTAACAAAATGATAAAGAATTTTAAAATTTAAATTTTAAATGAGACATGTTTTTCCTTGAACTCTATGCAATTATTATTTTGTCCGATTTTATGGCAAACAATTCATTTAAGATTTTAATGTAACAAAATAATAAGAAATTTTAAGATTTAAATTTAAATTTGAAATGAGACATGTTTTTACTTGGAGTCTATATGTCCGATTTAATTGCAAAACACATCAATTAAGGATGGAATTAATGCAGATCGATTTTTTAGCTATAAAATAATAATACAATTGGAAAAATGATGGAAATAGAATGCATTAATTGCCCTTTGACTTTTCTTCATACTAAATTTAGTAAATAGGATGGCTTATTATATAAGTATAGATGTATAAAAAAAATGAAGTCAAAACTAATAACCGAGCCAAGGAACATCTTTTGGCGTGGTTGGATTCAATTATTTAAGGTAAGAAAAAATTAAATTTGATTTTCTTCAAGTTACGGTTTAGTTCGATTATTTATTGTAGGTTCAATTTTTCACGGTTTCATGCAGTTTTGTTTCTCATCATAAATTTGTAATAAAAATGTATAAATATGTTATAAAATATTATTTTTTTATTTATACTTTCTTAGAGACCTTTTAATTTAAATATTAACATATTAGTTGAGAAAATATGATTGTCTAACCTTTAATTTAATGCTAGCCTTACACCTTTCGCATATTTAGAATTTTATCACCCTTTCAACTCTACACAAAGATTTATCATCGAGAGATCCGTTTCCATTATTCCACCAGTAAGAGCATCTCCAATGGTTGTTGTCTATATCGCAATAAATAGATGGTCTTCTGTCCATGTGTACAGAATAGAATTGCATGTTAATAAATATGTCTCCAATGGTAAATATGTATATACAATACACGATGTTTTTTTTGCTGTTCTATAAAATACTGTAAACTGTATTTTACTAATCATAATTTCACTAGTATTTTTTTCGATTAGTATTTTACTGATCATAATTTCACCAGTATTTTTTTTCGAATAGCTTTGTGAATTAGCTGCACCCAATATTCTTCATGCTTTTTTAAGTATTTTTTAAGAGTAAATAAAACATGTCAATACTATAATTTTTTTTCTTTTTCTCTTTTATTTGATATATTATGCATGTTTATGTATAATTTTAACAAACCATATACCATAAAATTTATAATATAAATTTAGAAGTGTATCAATTTTTTTCTTTTATTTTTCTGTATGTAAATTAATTTGATATAGTGTGTACAAATAAATACCAACAAACTATAATTAAAAAAAAAAGAAATAAATAGGATAAACAAAATATTTCATTTAATCTAGACAGACCTTCAGATGTAGAAAGCCTTCTGGATGTTTTGCGTCTCTCTCATGCCACATAATCAGATGTAGAAGCAAGGACGGATCTTTATTAGGCCCGGGCGGGCTGAAGCCCAGGCCCGTTATTTTTTTTTTTAGCAACTATTAGTTTGAAAAAAAAATATATTGTATTTCTAGCCCAGTCCAATAAATCAACTTATTAATCCATCAAAATAAATCACTTATCTATTAAATCCAAATACTACAAACACTACCCTAATAAAATATTATATATTGTTGATCAACCATTTTCACTAGGCATTAACTCACAAAACACCACTATACACTAAAGTCCAATCAAATAAATTAGTCATGGTCATGCCCCTCCTCTGAACACCAGAACATTGAATTTAGAAGAGCCAAAAAAAAAATATATTCAACAAGAAAGTGACTACTTTCAAGAAGATGATTTAATTTCT